GTATATGCAACAGGGACCTTACATGCAAGGTCTTCTTCCTACATCTTAAGTGAGGTCTACTGATGGAATATTATCATGTAAATCTATGCTCGGATAACTCCTCTTCATATTAAATGCCTAATCTTCACAAAATTATTCTTCTTCTCGGGTGATAGAGCGCATGCGCGAGCACCGTTCCATGCGTGCTATAGGGACTGGTGAAAACTGCATAATATAGCTTGCTGATGGTGAGAGGGGTGGGAGACTGATGACAGGCGGCAGGGAAGGTAGCTGAGTGGGCGGTGGCAGAAGAACCAGACTGAGCGAGGGGCAAGGGGGAGGACGGAAGGGGGTAAAGTAGAAGTTTTGCTCCCTCTAGACTAGGGCGCTCTCCGAATTATAAGCACAGGTTTACGGATACTAATTAATTCCAGAAATCTATGCTGAGATACTCCATAACCATATTAAATGCATATTCATTACAAAATATAACTCCTCTGGTGAGATATTGCTCATGCGCTAACACATAACGTAGCCAGATCGTGTACTGGCTGGTATATGCAACAGGGACCTTACATGCAAGGTCTTCTTCCTACATCTTAAGTGAGGCATACTCATGGAATATTATCTTGTAAATCTATGCTCGGATAACTACTCTTCATTTTAAATGCATAATCTTTGCAAAATATTATTTTTTTCGGATTATAGAGCGCATGCGCGAGCACTGTTTTGAGCGTGCAATACGCACTGAACAAAAACTGCATAATATAGCGTGCTGAGGGCGAGAAGGGTGGGAGACTAATGACAGGCGACAGGCCAGGTAGCTGAGTGGGCGCTGGCAGAAGAAGCCGACTGAGTGAGGGACAAGGGAGGCAACGGGGAGGATGGGAGGGGATAAAGGAGGAATTTTGCTTCCTCCAAGCTAGGGCGCTCTCCTAATTATAAGCACATATCCACGGATACAAATTAATTCCAGAAATCTATGCTAAGATACCCCAAAACCATATTAAATGAATATTCATTACAAAATATAACTCCTCCGGTGAGATATTGCCCATGCGCTAACACACCAACGTAGCCAGATTGTGTACTGGCTGGTATATGCAACAGGGACCTTACATGCAAGGTCTTCTTCCTACATCTTAAGTGAGGCATACTGATGGAATATTATCATGTAAATCTATGCTCGGATAACTCCTCTTCATTCCAAATGCTTGATCTTTGCAAAATTTTCTTCTTCTCGTGTGATATAGCGCATGCGCGACCACCGTTTTATGCGTGCAATACGGACTGAGGAAAACTGCATAATCTAGCTCGCTGAGGGTGTGAGGGGTGGGAGACTAATGCCAGGCGACAGGGAAGGTAGCTGAGTGGGCGCTGGCAGAAGAAGCAGACTGAGCGAGGGACAAGGGAGGTAACGGGGAGGACGGGAGGGGATAAAGTAGGAGTTTTGCTCCCTCCAAGCTAGGGCGCTCTCCTAATTATAAGCACATATCCACGGATACAAATTAATTCCAGAAATCTATGCTGAGATACCCCATAACCATATTAAATGAATATTCATTACAAAATATAACTCCTCCGGTGAGATATTGCCCATGCGCTAACACACTAACGTAGCCAGATTGTGTGCTGGCTGGTATATGCAACAGGGACCTTACATGCAAGGTCTTCACCTTCGCTTTATTTATCTCTCCGTCGTCCGCGTGTGACCTCAGTGGCTTAGGTCGATAGGCGTACCCCTAGTGTCCCTTTGTTTATTGTTTAAGCGCTTTTGTCCTCCCTCTGCTAGGTCAGTCGTACTATGTAGGTATCAGTCTCGTCCCATACTTGACCGGTGGCCAGAGGCAGTGACGTAACCATTTGGCGTTCCCGTCCGTACCATCGTAGCTAGTCCTAGGTTACACATGCCTCTTTCTTTGAAGTGACGTACCTCCGGTACGTCTCTCCTCTCGTGTCCTCACGAGACCTTTCCCCCTCAGCTCCTTCCGGCGTTGAAAGGAATAGGCCCTTGCGTTGTGTTTTATGATGTTCTTTGTATAGTCTTTCTACCTATTCCTCTCAAAGCTGTGCTTGCTGCTATCTCCTTCTCGGCTGCCGTTTCTGTCCTGTCTATGCCTGTGGCTCTCCCTCCTGTCGTAGCAACGCGAAGGTGAGTTCATGAGCTGCTAATGTAGGGTATATCGGTGCCGTTGCTGTTGGTGGTGCCTCGTTCCGTTGTTGCTGTTGTTGTTGTTGTTGCTGTTGTTGTGGGGGTTGTTCCTGGGCTGTGTGGGCTGTCCCGCACCACTTGCGTTTCCATCCGCAGTATGCGATTATCGCGACTGCTGTCACGGTAAGTAGCCCGTACAGTACGCCTGACATACTGTGCGTCGATATCTTCATCCTTGCGTGGTACTTGAAGAGTCCCTCCGGATTCATTGTCAGTGGTTTATGATTTTTTATCGCTTGCGCGAGGTGTTCGAACGGTACGTCTATGTCGTTTGACGCCGTTTGCCAGTTTTCCGGAAGTATACCTGTAGTAGGAAGCTGGAAGCTGTCTTGTCCCTGTGTTGTTTCATTGGTTACAATCTCGCCCCATATCGCCAGTGTTACGTCTTTTGGTTGCTCGTCTGGTGTTATATTGAATGTTAACGCTGTGTCTGACTCTTGATGGTAGTAGGTTGGTAGCTTGAAATACGCCGAGATGACTGCGCATCCTGACTCGAGTTTAAGCAGTTTGTAGTTTCGAACCTTTATGTTTGTTGTTGTTCTTATTGTCGCTCCTGTCTTCGTACACGTCATGGTGAGTGCGAACGGGGATGGTGTTGATAGTATCCATATTCCCTGTGTTACGTAACTCGCCGTCGGTGTCGCTCGTGCCGAGAATCGAATCCTTTTCCTGCATAAACGGGCCGTCGCTTCGCTGTCCTTTTTGATGACGCTCATTTCACACGACTCTTGTTGTACCGTCTGGTAGATCGGGCTGCGTAGCTGACACACTGGCAGCTTCTGTTCGATACACTGCTGTGCATCGTGTGGTGTCAAGTATAGGTAGTCTGCCTCGTCTCCTGACACCGCCATATATTCGTTATCCAGTTGGTAGTACGCCGCCGCCGTTGAATTTGGTAAGAATATCGGCACCGTTATTAGCCGATATATCGTAAAATCTCCTTGTAACTGTTGCAGGGGCAGCAGTGCTAGAATATGGAACCGTCCGTTATCTGGTATTAGCTGTACCTTCAATGTTTGAACTTCCCTACTCACCATCCACACAACTCTTCCAATATTACACGTCAGCAACTCCCGCCCGCCCCTCCCATCCACGCTACTCTCACCTAGAGAATTATACCAAGCCCTCATCCACATCAAGCTATGAGCCAGTAAGTCGTTGATCGTTTGTGTTAGTACTGTCAACGTGCTTCTTGCTTCGTCAATGATGTTCATAAATTCGAGTAATGGATGTGATCGGAACATACCATGTATGAGGTCCGTCATTACCAAGTTGTTTGTGTAGTCCATCCTTCTTTCTAATAGCCCTATTGTGCGGGCCATCTGTTCGGTAGCGTTTGCCAGCCTCGTTATTCCCTTGGTGTTTGCTTCCGTTCGTAGCCTCGTGAAGTTTAACACTGTTATTGTTTCCTTCACAATTTTGGTCAGGCCTGTCTGGTCTTCGTAAAGCCGGGCCACTTGTTGCTGTACGGCTTGTACGTCTTCTTCTGTCGCCGTCCCGAACAATCGCAGCTTAAGCGATCGGCAACACTGAACAAGAACAAGGGGACAATAGCCGGCAATCACGACAGAAACGGGCACTCATCCCAGCACTCGGCAGAGTGTCACAGTTCTACGCTCATCGCGACAGCGATGACAGTGAAGAGCGACGGACACCCATTCGTGATAACAACACGACTGGAGAGATTTTTTCACGACCACCACCACTGGCTACAACTGAAAGTAGCGCACTTGGCAGAAGTATTCGAAGGAATTGAACGATTGACAACAGACAATATACAGCAATACCGCCTCTTTACTTTCTCGATACTCGCCTTGATTTGTGTCAAGTCGACGCTAAAGCCTAACGCCCATGTGCTTTCAGTGATGCCGGCTTGAATTTCCGGGATCATGATAATTCCTGGGATGTGAATCGGTTGGTTCTGTGTTGCAGCGGCTGCGTAGATCGTTATCATCATGATTCCAACGTATCTGTAAAAACAGTGTGCGAGACGCATAGAGGCGTGTATAAAGTAAGAATACATCGGTAGGTTCAGGTGAGAATCGAACGAGTCGCGTATGTACCCTCATACACCGAGGGGGTTTTCTACAGGCGGGAGCTCCCCTGTGGGAAGCCGCGCACTCGGTTCAGCGCGCGGAACTAAGAGGCGAGTAGAGGAGAAGACAGGACAGCAGAAAAAGGGGGGAGGGGGGAAATGGATGTAAATATAGAACGAGAGAACATAACGATAGAGGAAAAATAATGATAGAGGCGTGTAGACATAGAGGCGCAGAGATTATTCTTAATATTTCTTACTT